GTGGACTACAGAACCATCCGGCGCATTTTCCTCCCGCTCTGTTCTACGGATATTATTTGTCCGTATTTAGAATAGTTTGTTTGATCTTTAGGGCTTTGATCGTCGGAAACGTCCGACCTATTTAAATGGTTTGTCTATTTGAATTACCGCCGTAAGAAGCGGACGATAACCCGAGTGTCCCACCGAGTACCATTCGTACCATTCATAGCGTAGCTGAATGCTCCGGCGAATGCATTGACGATTGAGTTGCCGTGAACTCACTCATTGACGGAACGCGAACGTTCACCGGGTTAGGGTCCCCGGTGTGAGGACAACTTTATGGGGTTCGGTATATCGGAAACGGGACGAGAGTGCGGCGAGAGAGAGAGAGAAGTCGCCGTGGTGTCTCCTGTCTCTGCGTGACACCGCGCAAGATACGGCTCTTATGTTAATGCGAAGGGGCACACCGTGTACGACAAGGAACGGGAAGGACTGACACACAATGCCGGCGATACCGACGCGAGAGTCCGCCGGCCATTAATAACGAACGCTACGAACTCAATGAATCAGGGTTGCGTGTGTACCATTATAATGTAAATATTCGACGCGCGGCTTAGCCCGCACGTTCTGTTCCGCGTCGATTGTTCGCGGTAACGTATAACGTATCTATATACGTACTCGCGAGGCGAGTACAGACCGAGCGACGATAATAGCGAAGCTCGACCGAGCGTCCCGCCTCTTCTTTTTCGTATCTTCGGGACATATATCCGGGGGTGTCCTCGACAGACAGAACATGGCGAAGCGTATTTCTCCGGCACGATGGCGGAAAGTGTCGGAGTCGCGATTCTAATTGCGAACATCGTGACACTACTACGCGTTGCTAATGGAACGCTTCCGTTAAAGCCTCTCAGAACAAACAGTATCGGTATCAAGCGGGGGAATCGATATCTACCGATAGAACACCTGACAGCGTTGATGGAGCATTACTCTGGGCCCTGCGTCTCGATTATATTTCGAGAAGCGTGGTTCCATCGTCAAGTTCAACGCGTCTTGCGGAAACACTTGGCAAGCGTGGAAATGGAGTTTCCACGCGGTATGATGCATCGGACGGAATGAATTACGATTAATTTGCGAATCTCGCTAAGGAGAACCCGATTGATTTATTCGCCGCCGTAATGGGACGTCGTCGCGATGAAGGCATTTTTACGTTTCTGCAGATTTTCGCAATTACCGCACAGAACAGATCTCGATCTCGCTGCGCGCAACTACAAACGAAACGGAATTACTTCCCGGCGAAATAATTTCCGCGCGTCTCACGCTCCGCAAGCCAGCGACGCTAAATACGAAATGAGACTTCAACGGGAATGATTCAACAACCTTATTACCACATAATATCTTGCCTTCTAAGACTCACGCGTTAACCCGGTATTACGAGCGCGCATAATGCACCCCTCCTTTCCGTATCTCACTCTCTGCCACTCTCTCCTTCTCTCTCTCTCTCTCTCTCTCTCTCTCTCTCTCTCTCTCTCTTTCTTCTTCGTTCTCGCTCTCCTTAGCAAGACACGAAGACGCAAATTCAGTATGCAGTCTACTCCGTTATAGCATTATCGTGCCGCTTCAACTTGCTCCGCGCTATAATCATCGTCTTACGGGCGCAATAATTTAAACGACGCGTCTCTGCGTTCGCGCGCGGCGAACTTGATATTCCCTCTGTTTACCGATGCTCCTTGTTTAAGAGTTTTCCGCGTGTCTCGAAGGCGGATTAGGATCTGCATAGGGAGGAAGAACCCCCCCGGGACATATCATACATAGATATGCCGGCGATATACGCGTGTCCCGGTACGTGCTTGTGCTACGCGGCTTGCAGGGGTAAATATGCAACTTCCGACCACGAGCTAAAGCGGCGAAGAACTACGTTAGGACGGCTCGACTCGGCTCAGCTCGGCGCGTGCGACGTGGCAGCTGATTCCTCGAATGCATTATGAATTAATCAGCGTCTCCAGCGCCCGTTGCGAGACGCCGAACGCTACAAAGTGCAATTGTTTTGTGTTCTCGAGTGACTGAGACGCCAATCGTGTGGACCGTCGCGAAATTAATGAATAACTCGTGGGATCTTTCGTAATTTATACATGAAAACATCTGCTTTTTGAAACCTCGAAAACAATGTTGGAGGAAGAATCTCGAAAGGGAGGGAGAAAAAGGACCAGCGGGAGCGGGTGTAACAAAGCACGTTTTGAAAGTTAATTTTGAGCGCGCGGTCTTTGCTGTAGTAACAACAACTTAATTTAATATCGCACTGTGGAAAATTGTAGCGAAAGCTCTACGGTCTTCGTTTAAACTTTCGTTGAAGAAGCAGCTACCGCGAGGTATCTGGACAAAGCTGCATATTTATGTGTCTTTGCTTTTTGCCGATTCATCGTCACCGCGACGGAGATACGAATTTTTCTCTTCGCGTTCTTCCGCGGCGCACAGCTTATAATCTAATTTCAGTCCGCTCTAAGCCATCGAAGTTGTTGCCAACAACGGCTTCGCGTCTACCCGGACCGAACTAGCCGAACGTCAGGACGTCGGGTAACTCATGAATTTGCATGGCCCAAGCCAAATATAATCTTAGCATACACAGATGGCTCTCTCTCTCTCTCACACACACACACGCGCGCGCGCGCGCACACACACTCACCACTCACACACTCACACACTCACACACTCACACACTCACACACTCACACACTCACACACTCACACACTCACACACTCACACACTCACACACTCACACACTCACACACACGCACACACTCACACACACACACACACGCACACACATACACACTTTCTTGTTCTGTCCTCTCTCCTTCTCTGTCTCTCCGCCCTCTCCTTCTCTCTATTTCGTCCTGCAGGCGCTTTCACCCGAAGGACTCGGCTCATTCTCACCGTTCATGGCACTGTCGTGGATAGGAAGTGCAGATTGCCCTGTTTAATTACTGGTTAGGGATGGATGGGGAGCTTCGAGGGCAATCAGCCTGTTTGTATTTGCTCGCAGGTTTATGTCGGTTTACCCGTAACCCGCGCCACCCGATTTCTACGAGACAGCTCAATCCACGTAACATCGCATCCTGCGACAATGTGGTATCCGCCTTTGTGCTTCGTGACGCGAAATAGATTAGCATAATCGAAAACAGCGCGGCGATAACGTCGAGATTGGCAAGACTTTATTTTTATCCGCGAGTTGAAAAGTGAGGGATAAGGTGGGTGAGTTTTGACGTATTTTGACGTAACGAGCGGAAAATGAAATCCTGTTAATTAATTAAAAAAAGAATTACATTGGGAAGGGAAGAAAGAATCGTAAAACTCTACGCGTATAATAATCCTGTCTTGTTCAAATCGTCGTAAACAAATGATTTTACCGGTAATGATTCTCGCGTGTTCGTCTCGCAGAAACTTGCAATATTTATTAAACTTACGAGTAATACCACGAAAGATATCTCGGGCAACTCTTACGAGTTGGTAAATAACAACATGCGTACGTGTTTGCAACGTGGTCGTAATTTTATCACAACGTAACATAAAGGAGCTCAAAACTTCAATGCGCCGTACCTTCTTTCTTTTCTTCCCTGTTCTTTCCTTTTTTTCAAGAATCTCCATTTCGCAAAGTTCGCGAAGTCCCTATCAAACTCGGAAGTTTGTTTACTTCGAGGGCGTGCTATCTGAACTAAGACTTCCGTACGCATTTCCAGATAGTTGATGGTAAGTTTAATGGAGATTCTATAATTACTATCTTAGTATGGCACTAAATTATTCACGATTATCTAGATTGTAGGTACATGTTTGCTAAAGTGCATGTCTAGTTACTGTTGCAGTTTGCCACAGGTACAGCGCTCTTGTTACACTTCAACGAAGTTAATGCCGTTCGCCGATGCAAGCTGCTTGGTAGACTAAGGTGATTGCCGAGTTGCGCCATTGTGTTCCGTGACGATATACATTGTAATTCTAATTGATTGTAAGATGTAATTGTCGCATAAGCGTTAAAAGATTCATGTGTGATCGCGTGACATACGCGAGTCGGAGAGACATCTCGCTTCACGAGACGTCTCAAGACAATTAGCGCGATAGTGTTCTCGATCGAGGAGAAATTTCGTTTCGAATTATCTGACGACTCCGAGATCGCAACTCGAAGATGTGCAGTTTGAAGAAGGACGGTGAATAATGGAAAGTCGCACATCTAGTCGTTCTCGAGTTATCGACGAACGTCAGAGGAGTCAACGGAAATTCGGCATATTTCAACATGATTAACTTAATATTATTGATTTAATGCCATCGCATGTATCATTGATGTAGTGTGCGTAATGATTGAGATGCATTATATATTATACGGAGTTCATTAGCACACGTACCTGAAAGTATTACATGATGCACGCTGGCCGCGTCTCGATGTTTTGCGTTCTCCTGGTTTCTTAGTGTAGCATCCTGACTCTTGGCAGTTCTATCGTAGCATTCCGCATACTCTTTCATAGTACCGACTTTACCACTCTCGTAGACACGATCTGAACGCAACAATTTATGTTAATTATCACGATACCGTCGAGAGCTTGGCCACTTTGCGCGGCAAGCGGGGGACAAAATGGACGTTGCACTATACTGGTCTGTTCTTTTCAGCTGCACTGCTGAACTGGTGCAATAAGTTAGAGTGAGATAACTGTATTTCTTTTTGCGGCAGTACAGCTAAGAAGAACAGACCATAAATCTGTTCCTTTCATCTGCACTCTGCACTTGCACTTACTACACTCCAATTAAAATAGAGTACATGTAACGTATATAAAATAAAGAAAATATATGTTTTGTACTAATTAATTAAGTAAATATATATTTACAATTTGATGAAGAAGAAGCAGGGGACAACGATCGCAAGAAAGTGCAGAAAGTGCAGCTCCTGAGTACAGATCGTAGTTTTACAATTTGCCACGCTCGGTGAGGACGTGACGTGTTCTAACATGCGAAATATTTGAATTTGTCGGTAATTAAAACGGACACACGTACTTCACATCGTTCGTTGGATGGAGATATAACGAAACAGTCGTGCATGGAAAAAACGCACGCTCGAGCGAAGCAACACGATAGACAAAAACAGGTAAATTCACGCGCGTAAATCGCCAACCGTCAATCGTCGAAAACAAACGACGTTCGTATTCAGCAGCTGATGGATGAGGACGAAAACATTGCTAACCTACAAGATCAACGCGCTATTAGAACGTCCTCGCACGTCGTTTGTCGTTCAGTACATTGCGTTTCGGGAAGACCAAACATACCGCGACGAGATGTACAATACGTGTATCGTAATGTAGGTTATAATATCGATCGCAAGATTACTTGTTGAAATATTTAATCAGGTTTAGTCGATCTCTCTCTCTCTCTCTCCCTCTCTCTCTCTCTCTCTCTCTGTCTCTCTGTCTCTCTTTCTCTCGCGTTAATTAACTTAATCTAACCTGACTTTCGATCGATTGTAGCTACGCAGTGTCGATGTCGCGAGTGAATATCCGGGTTATTATTCCAACGGGACAAGTCTGGAAGTCTGGAAGCCGAATCGCGGAGCCAACACGGAAAATGCAGAACTTCGATAGCGAAATATCATATATTTCCAGGTATATCAATTATTTATTATACAGAAAGTTCCTGATTATAACGGATGCTTACAGAACTTGCCGAGAATAGAGATATCTGAGCCAAAATTTGAATCTGCATTTACAGATTATTATTATTTAGCAAACAATCGTTTGCCTAACCCACTTCGCAAACAGTTGAATTGTGCTCCGTCAAATTTGCAATTAATTATACTGCTAGAATTATTCACAACTAGATAATCAGGAATTTACTGGGTTTATACATGTATATGACTGTGCATTTTTTACTTTCGAAAACGAAGACAACAATTGTCGGATTAAGTTACGACGACGCCGAGATTGTCGGAATCGTATCTCAATCGAATGTCGTGAATGTTTCTCAGCAATATTAACAGATTCATAAAACTAGGGAGTTATTAATAAATGAAAGTCGACAAAAATTTCATGCGCGATATGTCAGAGTTACGTGGAAGTGAGTAAATAACGACATGAGAAACTGATCTGAAAAAATCTGATATTTACAATTACACTGATATATATTAGATTCTCTTTGCTTGCGCAGCACGCCGGTGTATCTAAATACAACTTTAATAAAATTCGGTTCAATCTCGTATTTCGCCTTCTGCGAAACGTAGAACTCTACTACTTACTCGCAACATACATGCACCGTATCGGTATCCGCAGGGTATTTAGACTCCTGCCCTTTTTCCGACATCGCATTGCTATCCTAACACGTACGTAGGTACGGCCGTTTTTCCCTTTCACGAGTGGAAACCGACTGGGCACCGAGTATCCGGGGTCTACATTAGCCGGGAGCTAGACATTCGCTTTGCATACATACACCGTAAATGAGTTTTGCGTATTTGTTGCATACGCGAGAAAGCGCGCGGAACTATTTACACGCCGGCTCACAAAGTGAGTTCCTACCAACTTTCATTCACTATTTTAGCGCGCGCAGCACGCGAAAGATTCGCGTGCGACCCCGACAACAGCAGTTTCGCCGGTAAAGTCTCGACATCACTGTGTCCGCAATTGTATTCTTCGCTGTCACCCGAGTTGTCCGCTAACCCAGTTTTCTACGGTGAAATTCCGGTTCGCGGCAGACAAAGATACTGCGCGGAATGCGCCAGGGAATGCACAAAAACGCAATAAAAATGCATAATTTAAACAATTCGGAATAGGACTGGTCTCGTCGCGAATCCGGTCGCGAGCTATCGTTAATTGCAGCATTATTACATTTTCAAACAGTTGATTTATCAAATTTTAAGTAGAATTTATTTAACTCGCGCTCGGAATCCACTGAAAAATACAATTTTGTCGCCTGCTAAGTTTCCAAGCACCACATCTCGAATATTGATCAAGTATATAAAAATAAATTATCTATAATTTTCATTGGAAGTTATCGAACCGCAAATGCTTTGAATGGAAACTTAAATGACCAAAAAATTGTATACTCTCTCTCTCTCTTTTTTTCTTATTATACGTGTATCTTCTAAAAATGTTATACCTCTGTCCCTGTCTCACCGCGCCGAGCCGCGCATGTCCAGACCGGAGATTCGTGTTCGTGCTTTAGCGTTACAATCTGGCCGGGCATAAAAAACGAAGACGCGGACCCTCGGTGTTGCTTTTTTTACATTTCTCGCCGGCGATGGGCTTCGTCTTAATTGGCGCACTCTCCGTCGTGCCACGGATGCGAACTTATTCGGTTCACGTTGTCCTCCCGATACCTTAATGAAGCAAATTTGCATTCATACGCGTCGCGAGTGCGCGAATACGGCGATACAATAAAACTGATCTCGCGTCTCTCGCCACGAGCCGCGGGTAAGATGAATGCGTCTGCTCAGCGGGCTCTCTGTTGCCGACTTCGGGGTCTCATGATAATGATTCAAACGCAGCCTCGGTGCTGCAAGGGACACCGCTGCGGGTCCTGACGCACGCTCAGGAATTTCGGAATTCTGAACTCGCAATTTCGTGACAATGCACAATGGCAAACGCTTGAGCGCGCACGGCTCGTGTAGAAATGGCTGATTTACTCGAAATTATAGCACAAGGAGATTACCAAAGAACACGGCCGGCCAGGTGATGACGACCGATTTAAGTACGCGACTTCGTAATTGACACGCCGACTCCACGTTACCTGACTTTCCCCGCATATCCATTCCTATTATCGCCAACGAAAGGTAAGAGTGTACGGAGAGTAGTACGATTCGAACAGTTGTCAAAATTCACTGTAACGAAATCAGACTTGGCGACACTTTGGCTTTATCACGAGGCGAAACTCGGGCAACTGTTCTTACGTCTCGGCAAAGGAAGATAACGTCAAGCCGGCTCTCTGCCGTGCGTAGTACGGTATATATCGCGGGTTTAACTCCATTATCCATAAACTTCCTCGAGGGATCGGGAAAACTTCTCGACGTACAACACCGCCAGATTCGCAGACACAAAGGTTGATGGCAACCGTCGGTAGGTAGTCGTCGCGAGCGACGATGTCGGATTCGCGGTCACGGAGCGAGAAGGTAGGAGAGCTAGACGAGAGAGAGAGAGAGAGAGAGAGAGAGAGAGAGAGAGAGAGAGAGAGACAGATCGGGAGAATGGAGAACGTCGATACGGGGGTCTCGTTACAGCGTGATACGCCAGTGCCAACAAAGCGGTCCTGTCCGCCGGCTGAATACGCCGGCATAACTAACATAAGCACGAGACTCTAGCAGTCCAATCAGAACGGTTCAACAAAGATACCGCGTTCTGTCCATTGTGCAAATCCTACTCCACGCTCTATGCGCCGATAGTGTATCGGGGCTTTTCTCGATCTCTGATCGAAACGTGCCCTCCCGAGAGCGAGCATTGTTTGCGCGCGGTACTAGATGTCCCCGTATGCATGCCGATCGAGCTTTGCGTTACGTACGATGCACCGAAAACGGCAACCCGACGCGCGAGAAAGGTATACGCGCGTATTTGAATTGTAAATGAGAAGTGATTAACGAAGAGGGCGAATGGGTGAGAGGGGAGGGTTAAATTACACAACTGTCCGTTTCACTGACGCAATCGGCAACGTACGCGACGCCAATCTCGGAGATTTCATTCATTCGTAATACGCAGTCGTTTCATTTCCTCGCAATCGAGAGGTCAGGTCTGGGAGGTATTGGCTCCCTCGCGCGTCTTAAGCCCCCTTCATTTCCCTCGAATTGACCACTCTCGCGCGAACGTTCTTTAATTCTCCGTCGGAGTCGCGCCGAAAATTAGCGCGCTACAGTGCAGAACAAACTCGACCCGCGCCGGTAGATCCAAATTAAAACGTCGAATTAATCGACGAGCCTTTTATGCGCCGGCAAACAGTCGGCCGTTAGTTATCTCGATTCCGCTCCTCTCCCTTTCCCTTTCTCTTTCCCTTTCACCGACAGCCTTTTTCTCGCTCTCGCTCTCTTCATCTCGCGGAAGGAAACGAACATTAGCTGACGTTACAGCCCGTCTCGTTTTAGAGAGCGTCGAACGATGGAATGGAGGAATTGTCGATGAGAAAGAACGCTCGGAGAAGCGCAATTACAGGGATATGTACGGCTGGTTTCGTCCGAAGGACGATAATACGCCGCGTAGAAAAGAATTTACGGACGAAAGCAGCGAGATAATTAATCGCCCAGCCGTGAGCCACCTTTTATATCGACGGCACGCGTCTCGCGATCCGTCCTGTCGATTTTCGCCCGGTGTTACAATCACTTGTTTCACCGCAACAACAGATGTTGAGATAGCGAGCGCAGCTAGGCACGGATTAGCGAAGAATTTCGAATCTGCGATTGAGCAGGTATTTAATACCCGCTGTCACCGTCTGCGACGAATGAAATTTGTAGCGACGATTGATCGACTCGCCGTTGACTCGTAAAGGAATGATAATATGATATTTTGTCGGCTGGTAATTTTGAAAAGTAGCTGAACGCGCCGCAGCTGAAAAGATAATATCGTGACTTTCTTGTTTTTCCTTTTACTGTTTCGACAAAAATCGATGCAAATTATATAGGAAAGAGGGATAACTGCGTCTTGCCCGCCCTCTCTCCCCCTCTCTCTTTCGCTCTCCACTAAATTTTAATCTTCGCTCGCTCTTACCAGTAATTTTCTGAGCAGGATTGTCCGGTTTTTTCGACGACGCGACAATCCCTTGACATATCCCTCGCGTGTCGGTTAAAATGTGAAAAAATGGCGACGTTCGGCGATCCTCGCCTGAATGGAAATATTTATACGGCCGTTACACGGTATGCATAAATAATGAACGGCGACGGACGGGCGTCGTGTCAGCGGGACGCTTTGCGGGATTGTCGAGAGCAGAGTTTGCGCGTATCTCTCAAATGACAGTCATATTAGCGCGACATGCATCTGCGGTTTGCAGTATCTGTTACATTGTACGCAGTCAGCGTCAACCTATCATTCGAGTGAGCCGTATAGTAAATAAATTGACCGTGATAATGCTAGTACGCGATTTATGGCAGCCGCGAAACGCGAGTTATTTTTCATGTTCGTTGTTCGTTGATTTTATCGCGGATTGTAGCGCACTACTAACAATTTTACGCCCAATGATGTATTGGTAACTGTAATTGAGGAAAAATATAATTGAGCAAATATTGGCAAAAAAAACATGTCAGTCATCGATCGAAATCTACGAAAACAATAAATGTGATAAAAATAAATAACAAATTTCTTTTGCAAAAAAAAATAGGCTGCGTTTATAAAAAAATTACATTTTATCGTTTTAAGCTTCCGCAATTAAAATTGGTCAAGCTTTGCGTCGGCAAAATTCGGTATGATATAGAGAAATAAATATTTACTCGCTTCGTTATTACGCGACATTTCGCGAAAATCTTTCCATCAAAAATTATTTTCATTCGTGTGTACGGTATATTAAACTGCGTCCACTAGCGGAAAAAGACAGCTTGAATTAATTGTAAAGTACCTGCAGGTATGAAAATTAATCGCGAGATAAATAATTCCGTACTTGAAAGTCGATATCCCTGAGTTCACGGATGAAAGGGGATTGC